GCGGGCACCAGCCAGCCCGCCCCCCCCAGCACTTGGTAGCTCACACACGTAAAAGCGTATGTATATATGCATGCATGTATGTATGTATGCACTTATGTATGTATGTATGTATATATATATATATATATATATATATATATATATTTGTGCATGCGTGTATGTGTGTATGTATGTATGTATGTATGGATGGTTCTGTGTATGGATGCATGTATGCATGCATGCATGCATGTATGCATGTATGTCTGTATGTATGCGTGTATGTGTGTATGTGTGCATGTGTGTATCCGTGTATGTGTGCATGTGTGTGTATGTATGTATGCATGTATGCATGCATGCATGTATGTATGTATGTATGCAGGCCTGCATGTGTGTATACCTCCATAGATATGTGTAGGCATGTATATGTGCGTGTGTGTATATATATATATATTTGCACATATAGTCTCGGGCGCTAAAGGTTGGGCACCAGCCAGCCCGTCACCCCTAAGACTTGACAGTACAAACATATACAGATATACTTGCCAGGCACTAGGTTTTTACCATCGGCTAGGAATAGCCCAGAAGATTCCGAGGCCCACGAGGATGCAGACGCACCCCGATGAGGACTCGCGAGCTCTGCTAGGGCGTTCGGCGATGGCCCGCCTGTGAAGCAATGGCGACCGCGTTGGGTGAGCATGCCCGGGGTCACGCTGTATCAAATCATCAGCGGATGTACTGACGCATCGAGCCGAATTGGACACGAGAACGGCGAGCACGACGATCATGATGAGCGCAAGTGCCCGAGTCGCTTATATGATACGGTGGGGCTGTGGGCAACATGACGTCATATAGTCAACACTTTATCATCGCCCGTGTGTGCATATATGTACACATCTGTGAACTGGTACGTACTTATCTGCTACACCACACATCTATGTATAAAACTAGCTACACATAGCACTCTTTGTTTCAGATCTTTCCATACATAAAAGCATGTGCGCGTCTATCTATGTATGTATTTACATACATACGTGCTGCATGCATGCATGTATGCATGCATGCATACGTACACACCTGCATACCTACCTACCTGCTTACCGACCTAAATACACACATTCACATCACACTTACATATATACATCACAGCACAGCAACACGCATACATAACGTATACATACACACATACATGCATACATTCATACACACGTGCGTGATTGTCTACATGCATACAAACACATACGTACATGCATACACCCATACATACACATGCGTACAACTGCACACATACATACATACAACAATGCACGTATACATACATCTACACACATACATACATGCATACGTCACTCCACACATACTCACATACATACATACGCACGCACACACACATATATATACATATATGTATGCATGATGCATGCGCACACACATTTACATTTAACTATAAACACGCAAACATGCATTCATGCATGCGTGCATGCATACCGACCGACTTACCTACCTATCTACCAACATACGTACATACGCACGTACACACATTCATACACATACACATTCACACATGTATATATACACCAATATATATATATATAGATATCGATACATCGATATTTGCATCCAGCCATCTGCTGCAAGTCCCGCCACCGAGACAGTAGCATGTTAGGTGGCGACCGCTCGAGGGGATTTGGGAGGTCGTCACGTGTGACAAATCGGGCCTCTTGAAGGTTCTGGGGGCTTCTTGAGGCGTTCTTGGGGGCCGCTTGGGGCCTCTGGGAGCGCCCTGGGGGCGCTTCGGGGGCTTTTGGTGATGGCGCTGTTGGGCCGTACGGGCGCTTTCAGAGTTCATCTTAGAAGACCTCCTGGGTTGTCTTGGGGCTCTGGGACCTCGAGGGCCGTCTGAGTGCCTTCTTGGGCCGACTTGGGGTCCTCTTAGGCCGCTCTTGGGCCATCGTGTCACCTTCTTGGGCCGTCTGGGGGCCCTCTTGGTGCTCGCCGTCTTGAGGCCGTCTTGGAGGCTTCCTGGGATGTCTTGAGTAGACGGAAGCTTGAACCGGCGAGAATGCGGACATCATTGAAACAAGTATGGGAAATCAATGATGTTGGCATCGTCGGGCTTTGCTTTAGGCTCCATTGACGCCCTCCTGGGCCGTCTTAGAGGCCTCTTGGGCCGTCTCAAGGCCATCTTGGGCCATCTGAGGCCGCCGTGGAGGCCTCTTGGACCATTTTGGCGGCCTTGGTGGCTTGCCAGGTCCGTCTTGGAGGCCACCTTGGGCGTTTTGGACGCCTTGGAGATCGCCAGGGAGGCGTTTTGGCCGCACCGGCAGCCGCCCCAAGAGTATGGGGTGGTGCACGCGCCTGTTTGCGGCGAGAGGGGGGCCCCTGAGAGGACCACACAAACATGGCCAGGCAGCATTTGGCATTCTCCCACGCCTCAACGTGCACAAGGTACGGTGGTGGATTACCAAAGGAAAACCGCTTGTTTTTGCTAATTCGGGCCCTCCGGGAGCTTTTGTTGGGGTCCTCTGCAACCGTCTTGCGGCCTCTGTGAGTCACCTTCAGGCCGTCTTGAACCGTCATGGCGCTTCTTTGGGCCCTCTCTGGCCATCTGGGGCCGTCTTGGGGGCATCTTGGGCTTGGCGGCCTGTGTGGGCGTCCTGGGCCGTCATGGAAGATTTGGAGAGCCCCAAGGGGGCGCCATGGCCGCCTAGGGCCCCCTGGGAGTAGGGGGGGTGCAGTCCGAAACGCCACCCAAGAGTCGCAGGAGGTCTCCAAACTTCCACGAGGGCTCAGAATCCCCAAGTTGTCGCTCCAACACGCCGACGATGGCTCCAAGACGGCCTCCGGGAGCCCCCACGACGGCCCAGGAGTCCCCCAAGAGTCCCACAAGAGGACTCCCAAGAGTGCCTCGAGAAGCAAACATGGCCCCATTTCCTTTTGGAAAATGTGCATGTTTACAATATTCACCGCTTCGGCGTCTACCGCGTCGAAGACGGCCCCAGGAGCCGACCAGATCGCCCCAAGACGGCCAAAGAGAGTTCCAAGAGGCCTCCAAGACGGCTCAAGAGGTGCCCTCTACTGTCCAGGGGGCCCCTGAAACGGTCCCAGAGGGCCCCGGGACAGCTTCCCCACACAGCACCGAGGGGTACACCACCCGACATTTCGAGCCATCCTACCCAAAAACCACCCCGGAGACCCCAAGAAACCTCCAAGAGCCCCCGAACATTTGCCGCATTGTGGGTACCGCTTTAGGTGTAGCTCCTTATGGGGCCACGAAGCGTGCGAAGGGTGCGCCGAAATCGGTGGCGGTGACGCATGCGGACCCTGCCACTGGAGCCTTCACTGGAGCTCCTTATAGGGCCAGGAAGCGCTGTCCTGGGTGGCGGTGGCGCATGCGGACCCTGCCTCTGGAGCCTTCGGTGGAGCTCCCTATGGGGCCATGGAGCGCTGTCCTGGGTGTCGGTGCCGCATGCGGACCCTGCCACTGGAGCCTTCGATGGAGCTCCTTGCGCGGCCACGAAGCGCTGTCCTGGGTGGCGGTGCCGCATGCAGACCCTGCCACTGGAGCCTTCGGTGGAGCTCTCTGTGGGGCCACGAAACGCTGTCCTGGGTGGCGGTGACGCATGCGGACCCTGCCACTGGAGCCTTCGGTGGAGCTCCCTGTGGTGCCACGAAACGTTCTCCTTGGTGGCGGTGACGCATGCGGACCCTGCCACTGGAGTCTTCGGTGGAGCTCCCTGTGGTGCCACGAAGCGCTGTCCTGGGTGGCGGTGGCGCATGCGGACCCTGCCTCTGGAGCCTTCGGTGGAGCTTCCTGTGGTGCCACGAAGCGCTGTCCTGGATGGGTGAATCGCAGGGAGGTGGCGAGGCGGATGGGAGGAGGGAGGAGGGGGAGGAGGAGGGGGAGGGCGAGGAGAGGAGAGGAGAAGGGACGCGGGGGGCTGTCTCTTCAAAACGAGAACCCAACACCACAGGATGGTTTGGAAAAAACCCAAGCGGGCCCCAAGGGGCCGCCAGGAAGCCCCAAGAGGCTCCTAAGAGCCCTCTCCCCAGTCGCCCTGAGGTACTCTTGTCGATCCCGAAGCTTCCAGACAACTCTCGGCATCCTGACGCCCCCAACGGGCCCCGGGACGCTCAAACATTTAGGACGAAACTCCGGGCATATGGAAGTTGTCCAGACCCCGGGGCCACTCCAGGGGTCGTCGAGGTCGTCGTCGTCATGGTGGTGGCGGTCGTCGTCGTCGTCGTGATCGTCGTCGTTGTCGTCGTCATCGTCGTCGTCGCCTTCGTCGTCAGTCGTCGCCGCCCCTGTCGTCGTCGTCGCCGATGATCACACGAGCGAACAGGAGACCAGCAAAACGTGGCGCAGCCGTGACTGGAACCTAAGCGCGCGCGAAGCGCGCGCGCGTGGTTCTAGTATCTAATTTTACACATAAATATAGAGTTATATATGTGTGTGTCTGCCTATCTGTCTGTCTGTCTGTCTGTCTGTCTGTTTGTCTGTAGGTAGGTAGGTAGGTGGGTAGGTAAGTAGGTCTGTCTGTCCGACTGTCTGTCTGTCTGTCTGTGTGTCTGTCTGTCTGTCCGTCTGTCTGTGTGTCTGTCTGTCTGTCTGTCTGTCTGTCTGTGTTTGGCTCAAGCACACGCGCGCGCCCAAACCCATTCCTCGTCACCGCTGTCCGGTGCGGCTCGGGAAACCAACGCACCTTCCGTGGGAGCCGAATGGCGGAGGACGTGCATCTGGATCCGAAGGGCGATGAGAGCGACATGGCCGTTGAGGAGCCAGCGAGCCGCCCCCCTTGCCGAGCGACAGTCTGGGCAGTGGCACTCCAGCAGGAGTCAACACGGCCCGCCACCTGCAAAACGTACGGATCCGTGTTCGGCGCTGGCGAGCACCGCTTATGCCCATGGGGCGCTCGCACAAGTGCGCGGTGGGAGTGCATAAGCTGCTTGGCGGGGTCCCGGCCGCCAGTTGCGGAATTCAAGCCCCGCGGGCGCTCGACTCAGGAGGACGCGGACGCGGC